AGTAAAAAAAATATTGCCGAGTTTATTTTTGTTAGAGAAAATACATCAACAAAAATAAGGATTGATGGGAAGACAAATAAGTTTTGGTTCTAAATTGGTCTTCATGAACCAGTTCATTCTTTGTTAACACAACTGTGTTAAATCCCTTTCGCACCACAAAATTCACCTTTTCAGGATTTGACTTTTATTTGCTGCAAATGAAATGGCAATTGGAGCTCTTATTTGTCTTCCCATCAATGCAGATGAGCTTTGTCTTCTGCCTACAAGTGGAATAGCTCGACAACTTAGGAGTAGTCTGGGTAAATTACTCTCTATATTACAATCCACTGGAGAAAATGCTTTTAATCCTATTTTTACCATTCTCTCCACAATTCCATTTGACTATAGATGGTAAGATGTTGTTTTCTATGGAATGCAGCCAAAAAAATTTGTTCCAAATCCATTCTTTCAAACTCACAATATCTCAACACTTCTTTCAATCACTAAGTGGGTTGGGCAGGCATTTTTTTCAGGACAACAAGCAGGTTTTGCTGTTCCAGCAGACCATGATGTAGATAGAGAAATTATAAAAAGAGATAAGTGTCTTGATCTCAACAGACAAGGAAGTTCTATAAAAATTAAAGATGACAGTAGTCCCAATTATTACTGGAGCACTAGGAGTGTTCCCATAGAATCATAAGCAAAGACTGAACAAACTAGAAATTAGAAAAGTTGGAGTCATTCAGATGAGAGCATTTCTGAAAAAAGAATGCTGAGGAGAGTACTAAAGTATTTAGGTGACTTGCTGTCACTTATTCCCCAATGTAGACAATGTAAATCAAGGAGTGAAGCATAATAATAATGGTAATATCATAAAGGATTAGAATGGTAGTCATACTTCCTGTAGAATCGTGCCTTAATGTTTCTGTATGAAACAGAGAAATCAAAATGAAATGAAATATATCTATTAGATTCCATCCAACCCAATCAGAAATAATTTGCCAAGTGAATTTTGAGAGCTGGACCAAATAATTAAAGTTTTAATTATCATTATTGTAGTGAAAAGAATTAATCACTTATGCTTAATTGGTACTTCTTGAATAGAATGATTTAATAAGTACTTCAGGAACTGGTTTTTATCCACTTTGTCTTTTAGGTGAAGTTGTCTCATTAGACGAAACTTGACATAATTAGGTCTGCAAAGTGCCGGTTTCATTCGTATTATCTTGATTATATTCAGATTAAGAGAAAGTTCAATTATGTTCATGTCATTAAACATCAGAAAAGCAATCTTTGTATATTCCATATTATGTATATATACTAGCAGTACCCTTGAAAACTTTACACTGTTTCTATCAACTAGCTACATTCCATCATTGCCAATCGAACGACAAACTACTGCTAGTCATGATAAATAGATGTCCTCTTAGGGAGGATTCATACCTTGAGAGGCTATTGGGCCTTATACTCACACTCGACCTCAAGTGGAACTTGTACATACGATCCATCACTAAAGATGAAGGTAAAATGGTCAGCTTCCTGTATCACTCCTCATGCTATCCTCTACCTTTACAAGAGTCAGATCAGGCCAAAAATGGAATACTGTTGTCGTATTTGAGTGAGTGTAGCCCAGTTCTCACTTTCCAGTCTCGATAGAGTTTAAAAACGTCTTCTAATCCTTGTGGGTGACAAATTATTTTCCACTTTCCAACCTCTCTCTCTCACATGCAGGAAGTGGCAAGCCTCTCTTTCTGCTCTATCACTACTTGGATGAACTACAGTTCTAACCTTTACAGCTAGGACCCACCATACCACTTACATTGAAGAAAACCACCCACATTCCCTCAGTATTCAATTGGTAAAAAGTAAGTTTCACTGAAACAGCTTCTTCCCCCAAACCACTGATCTGTGGAACCGACTCCCAAGAGGATGTTTGCCTAATCACCACAATCTTTACCTGCTCAAGTTTTGTGATGTCAATGAACATTCATTTGACACTTTTGTGATACCAATGAATACTCGTTGTCACTTTTGTAATGCTCGTAGTAGAGACTTTTTAATCACAGATACAACTATTGTATGCCGTTGAACAATATTGGTGTCAAACACCATCAAATATCACTCACATTAATAGTACTTGCTCGATAATACTTGCTTAAATAGTAATCACTGTATAGTGATCTGAATAGAGAAATAGTATATAGAGTAGAGAATAGTGGTCTGAATAGTAATAGAGGAAAGACTAGAATGGTGATCAATTGGACGTCACACCACTTCCTACTTATGCATTTCCGCTATGGTTACATGGTCTACTTAATTCAATAATGGGATCGCCTGTGTTTGCTCACTGGCAATCTATGTTCAAACTCAAGTGTTGGCAGCAACACTTTATTCATATATATAACATCAAGTCTAGTTAATTGTTATCTTCTCCTCCTATACATATAAACTGCCTCTCAATGTAATCCTCTACCTCAAGTGACTCCCAGACCTTATACAGGGTGAACGTCACTGTAAAAAAAATTGAATTTTCTAATGAATCATAAATCTTAATTCCTTACGAGTTCCATGACTACAAAATAACCATAGAAATTCCCCGAGTACATTATTAAATATTTGTCCTTAACAAAATATTGTAATAACCATTATAATTATGTAAGTAAGAGGATACAAATGAAAAGTTTCAAAAGTGACAAGTTATTCCAATTTCACTAAATCAGATGTTAAATGCATGAGAGTGATATCACCTCCTCTATCTTCCCTTTTGTTTCTTTATTTCTTTCTTTCTTTCATGGGTGATCTCAACTGTTAGGTGGACAATAAGCAACAGAACAGAAAATGGTGGGTGATTAGAAATTTTGTAGGGCAATATAGGATTTTGAATATTAAGAAGGTATTTGAACATATGCTACCAAAAAATAAAATTATTCAAAGGAGATATGCAAAGAACCTGTGGAAAAATAAAACTGGAGGCTAAATGGGAAAAACTTGGACATATTCTTAGATACAATATAAATACCCCTGCAAGCAAGGAATATTTTGGTATTTTCTACAGTTTTGAGAAGGGTCATTAACATTCAAATAGTCCTTCAAACAAAATGATTTTTTTTTCAGATATGAATCAGGAAGAACAAAAACAACAAAAAATATTTGATGAATTTTTATTATTTACTAGTAGTGTATATTCTTTTTTATTTTATGATTAAAACAACAATTGTTTAATTTTTTTTGTCAACACTTGCAACACTAACACTACTCATAAAAAGTAACCTAGACCAGAAAACTAAATTTTTTATATATATATATATATATATATATATATATATATATATATATATATATACTTCTTTTGTCATTTTGTTAAGTCCAGTAAATTTCCTACTCTGGACATTGTTAAATAGAGCTGACTATGACTATAAAATATACATTTAAATGCTTATATATATATATATATATATATATATATAGATAGATAGATAGATAGACATATATTAATAATAATAATTCAGTAATTTTTTTCACAAAATAAATCAGTTTAGTTTTAAAATTTTTTCACTTAAAATAATTCAGTATAGTTTTATGAAAGTCTAATTAGAAACTTTTGACTTTTTAGATAATTCTATGATTTAATTTCTGCATGAAAAATATGAAGTAATGTGCAATAACAGATGATAACAATGGTTACAAATAATCATTACAACTACTGCGGGACCCTAAATTATAGAATTTGACAAAAATTTGAATATCTTTAAAAATTATTTATTTTGTTTATTTATTTTTTGATCCCTTCAACAAAAAAATTATTTTTAGAAGCCAATTTATTTTGCATTTTCTTTAAGGCTCTTATATTCTTTTGTTACTTCCAATTAAATTTTGATGAGGCAAATATAAATTCTTTCTATAAAAATATTATATAAAAATAATTCAGATTAAATACTTATTAAATATGCTTTTAAAAATTATGAAAATTAATTGTTACTGCTTATATTGTAAATGCAGTTTGTTAGTAATATATGAATTGGGATTTGAGTATAGATCAAATATGGATTGGAATGCAACAAAATGAGAGGATAAGGATCAAATGGAAAATGATTATAGATCTAACATGTTTCAACTTTGATTAAAGCTTCATCAGAGAATGAAATACGTAGATGATAGCACAATTTTCTTCCTTTTTCTTTTCTCTGTCATATTTCATTCTCAGAGGTAGCTATATTGTAAGTAAAAGACGTTAGATCTATAAATGTTTTCCTATTTATTCCTTAGCAATATATATATATATATATATATATATATATATATATATATATATATATATATATATATATATATTTAAGTTATAAAAAAACTTGGTAATTCGTATGGGTAGTCCCAGGAGGATGAAATCCTGCGAACTCAATGTAAATCCAGAGCTAATTTAAAGAAAAACAGACTACTTTAAGGTTCCATTATAATAATTTATTTCACAAGAGCCTTTTTAAGGGACACTGGATCATCAGATTACACTTGCAAAAAGTGTTAGCTGATGATCCAGCAGCCGTTGAAAGGGCTCTGGTGAAATAAATTATTATAATAATAAATTTAAAGTTAATAAATATATATATATATATATATATATATATATATATATATATATAACAACAGGGATTAAGATTAAAGATTCTTATTGCTCTGTTTAATCAAAACATTCAGCTCTGTATGTGAATCAATTTTAATTGTTAATATTTAATATTTTAGATTATGTTAATAGGATTCACTTGGATTACATACCAATGGATTTTTTTATCTATCTATCTATCTATCTATCTATATATATATATATATATATATATATATATATATATATATATATATATATATATATATATATACATTTAGTAGGCTGATAGTAAATTCATTACATGTTCACAATATGGTATCAATTTTTTGTTCTTCTGAATTAAGGTGGCGACAAACCGTCAAAATATCATTCTATGCCAAAAATATTTATATTCCACCAGTTCAACTTATAGCCACATTATGTTGAAACACCAGTTCCCCTATGATTACCAAAGTTAAGCAACATTGAGCCTGGTCAGTACTTAGGTGGATGACTGCTTAGGAATAGCAAATGCTGTAAGCTTGGATGTGCAGGTGGTGTAATGGATAATGGTATGGAATTGTTAATCAGAGAACTGAGTTCCAATTCCAGCTGGTTTGGTTTGGTTTACGACATATCAACCTCAATGGATCATTTAATGCCAACAACTTTTTTTTTTCTGGTAATATTTTTGTTTTGTCAAAAATCCATCTCTGTTAATATTTTTTGTCTAAAATATATAACTAGTAACATTATTTTTTCAAAAACGTACAGCTGGTGACATTATTTTTTCAAAAACGTATCATCAGCGGCCTTGCTGTTGGACATAGTTCATCATCTCACCCAGGACATGGATGTAGTTTATCGTCATACCCAGGACGCAGATGTAGTTTATCATCATACCCAGGACAATTCTAGCTGGGTTTATTATATTCACTTATGCTCAAATACCCTAGGGAAAGGTATGAATTCACCTCTTCTCTCCCCAGATACAGCTAAAACATGTTTCACTAAAACCATTATTATCTTAAGAAAAAAATTGTATAAAAATATTTAGATTTCAGCATTAAATAACCCATAGAGGTTGATATGCTGCTAAACATAATAAACCAACCAACTTATATATTTGTTTGTTAGTTTAATGCCTGTTAATTTAATTTTCTCATCCTTTAGTAATATTCTTTATCTGTTATTCAAACTTTATCTCAGAAACAGCAATCAACCAGAAGTGGTTATGTCCCTTTTTTGTTGTAAGTAGTTTAAGCCCACAAACCATTTTCTTGACTCTTGGGTCATCTATGATCTGAGTGTTTGTTTGTATCACTTTGGAAAAGGAAGCCATAACATAGAATTGGTTGTGGTAGGGGTAGTTTCACACAACACTGCAAGTTGCTACAAAACCAAAACATTAACTAAATATCTGAGTTGTATTTCATTAGAGTGAGATTTTTATATGGATGCCATACATAGTGCCAAATTCAGTCAGAAATAATTGTCAGCTGTTTCCCAGATGAATGAAATAGTAGGTCTTAGTGAGGACCATCCTTCTTCAAACCACATGAACTAGCACTGTAGAATCACAAACAAAGGACTGTACTAAATAACAGAAAGCACATGAGGACTTTCAACAGCAGCAACAACTAAAATGGATAGCACATGTAATTCAAAGGGAAAATAATAACATAATCAAGATGTTGGTGTTCCACACTACTTCAAACAAAAGGTTAAAAAAACTCATCAGTACTTCAAAGAGCAATATATTAGTAAATTTAAGAAACCCATTTTCCTGAAATTATTTTTTTTATAGAATGATTTTATAAATTTCAACCAAAACCGTCTTGGCCACTCGATCAATGAATAACAAATATTTCCTTATAAGGAAACAACTAACAATATCATTACCATTTAAGATAATTATAAAAATAGCAAAATAACCTTTATTGCCAAAGACCTGATGCTATTTTATTTAAACAGTTTTTACACAATCTAGTTGTCAGCCATTGAAATATACCAGACATTTCTACTTTGGATATGGCTTTTTTATATTTCTCTAATCTGACTTTAAGAGAAAGACAAGTTATTTGCTTATATTGTTTTCTACACCTACATGGGATGTTGTATATGCAATCTTTTGTCATCCACTTTTCTTGTGGGAAATGACACTATCATAAGAAATTAATGAAGAATATATCAAATGGGGTAATATCGAAAAATGTTTTGAATTCATTCAATGGCTCTTGTTACAGTTGATAATATCCTTACTAATAATACTTTTAGAAAAATATACCATCTTCTTTCTTTGTTAATTTTTTGCCCAAAGAACACTGTAGAATGTATCAGCTAAATATATGGTAACAAAAGACTCACAAAATAATTGAGTTCAATATTCCAAACTACTCTTAGAAAGATAATTTGCTGGAAAATTCATTATGTGTTCTGTCCGAAAAGTATCTAACCATCAAATATTTTAAAATATCCCCATATATATATATATATATATATATATATATATATATATATATATATATATAAAGTTATATTTAAGTAGCAATAATTTATTTAAACATGTTTTGTTTACTAAAAATAAATAAGAAAAATAAAAAGAAATAAAACTGACAAGGTCTCTTTCAGTTTTCCAATCTAAATTGAAGGTAAATTCTTCAAAATTTATGGGTTTTTTTTCTATGTTATTATTTTCAAGTACTTTTGATTGCTTCAGTCATTATCAAGAACTGGATGTTGTCAGTATGGTAGCCTTGGGTGGCAACTAATCTGACAGATGGAAAACCCTGAATTTCAAAGGTGATGGGAAACTACTCCATTATCTTTTCCAGTTCATAGATAAAAAAAAAAAAGAAATTTGTGGAGAGTCATATTTTGCTAATGTCCTGCAGAAGTAGGACAATAAATAAAATTACCAGAGAGATAAAGGGAAAGAGAGAGAGAAGAGAAATAAGAAATAGAGAGGCAGATAAAGAGATGAAATAACATTCTATCTCTCTCTCTCTTTCTCCTTTCCTTTTCTCTGTCTTTCTCTTTCACCTTTTCTTTTCTCTGTCTTTCTCTTTCTCCTTTCCTTTTCTCTGTCTTTCTCTTTCTCCTTTCCTTTTCTCTGTCTCTCTCTTTCTCCTTTCCTTTTCTCTGTCTCTCTCTTTCACCTTTTGTTTTCTCTTTCTCTTTCTCCTTTCCTTTTCTCTGTCTTTCTCTTTCTCCTTTCCTTTTCTCTGTCTCTCTCTTTCTCCTTTCCTTTTCTCTTTCTCTCTCTTTCCTTTTATTTTCTCTGTCTTTCTCTTTCTCCTTTCCTTTTCTCTGTCTTTCTCTTTCTCCTTTCCTTTTCTCTGTCTTTCTCTTTTTGCCTTTCCTTTTCTCTGTCTCTCTCTTTTTCTCCTTTCCTTTCTCTGTCTTTCTCTTTCTCTTTCCCTTTTCTCTTCTCTCTTTCTCCTTTTCTCTTCTCTCTCTTTCTCCTTTCCTTTTTTCTCTCTCTCTCTCACCTTTTCCTTTTCTCTGTCTTTCTCTTTCTCCTTTCCTTTTCTCTGTCTTTCTCTTTCTCCTTTCCTTTTCTCTGTCTCTCTCTTTCTCCTTTCCTTTTCTCTGTCTCTTTTCTTTTATTTTCTCTGTCTCTCTCTTTCTCCTTTCCTTTTCTCTGTCTTTCTCTTTCTCCTTTCCTTTTCTCTGTCTTTCTCTTTTTGCCTTTCCTTTTTCTCTGTCTCTCTCTTTCTCCTTTCCTTTTCTCTGTCTTTCTCTTTCTCCTTTCCTTTTTTCTCTCTCTCTCTCTTTCTCTTTTTCCTTTTCTCTGTCTCTCTCTTTCTCCTTTCCTTTTCTCTGTCTTTCTCTTTCTCCTTTCCTTTTCTCTGTCTCTCTCTTTCTCCTTTCCTTTTCTCTGTCTTTCTCTTTCTCCTTTTCTTTTCTCTGTCTTTCTCTTTCTCCTTTCCTTTTCTCTGTCTCTCTCTTTCTCCTTTCCTTTTCTCTGTCTTTCTCTTTCTCCTTTCCTTTTCTCTGTCTTTCTCTTTTGCCTTTCCTTTTCTCTGTCTCTCTCTTTCTCCTTTTATTTTCTCTGTCTCTCTCTTTCTCCTTTCCTTTTCTCTGTCTCTCTCTTTCTCCTTTTATTTTCTCTGTCTTTCTCTTTCTCCTTTCCTTTTCTCTGTCTTTCTCTTTCTCCTTTTATTTTCTCTGTCTTTCTCTTTCTCCTTTCCTTTTCTCTGTCTCTCTCTTTCTCCTTTCCTTTTCTCTGTCTTTCTCTTTTGCCTTTCCTTTTCTCTGTCTCTCTCTTTCTCCTTTCCTTTTCTCTGTCTCTCTCTTTCTCCTTTCCTTTTCTCTGTCTCTCTCTTTCTCCTTTCCTTTTCTCTGTCTCTCTCTTTCTCCTTTCCTTTTCTCTGTCTTTCTCTTTCTCCTTTTATTTTCTCTGTCTCTCTCTTTCTCCTTTCCTTTTCTCTGTCTTTCTCCTTTCCTTTTCTCTGTCTTTCTCTTTCTCCTTTTATTTTCTCTGTCTTTCTCTTTCTCCTTTCCTTTTCTCTGTCTTTCTCTTTCTCCTTTTCCTTTTTCTGTCTCTCTCTTTCTCCTTTCTTTTCTCTGTCTCTCTCTTTTCTCCTTTTCTTTTCTCTCTCTTTCTCTTCTGCCTTTCCTTTTCTCTGTCTCTCTCTTTTGCCTTTCCTTTTCTCTGTCTCTCTCTTTCTCCTTTTCTTTTCTCTGTCTCTCTCTTTCTCCTTTCCTTTTCTCTGTCTCTCTCTTTCTCCTTTCCTTTTCTCTGTCTCTCTCTTTCTCCTTTCCTTTTCTCTGTCTTTCTCTTTCTCCTTTTATTTTCTCTGTCTCTCTCTTTCTCCTTTCCTTTTCTCTGTCTTTCTCCTTTCCTTTTCTCTGTCTTTCTCTTTCTCCTTTTATTTTCTCTGTCTTTCTCTTTCTCCTTTCCTTTTCTCTGTCTTTCTCTTTCTCCTTTTATTTTCTCTGTCTTTCTCTTTCTCCTTTTATTTTCTCTGTCTTTCTCTTTCTCCTTTTATTTTCTCTGTCTCTCTCTCTCCTTTCCTTTTCTCTGTCTCTCTCTTTCTCCTTTTATTTTCTCTGTCTTTCTCTTTCTCCTTTTATTTTCTCTGTCTTTCTCTTTCTCCTTTCCTTTTCTCTGTCTCTCTCTTTTTCTCCTTTTCCTTTTCTCTGTCTTTCTCTTTCTCCTTTCCTTTTCTCTGTCTTTCTCTTTTGCCTTTCCTTTTCTCTGTCTCTCTCTTTCTTTCCTTTTCCTTTTCTCTGTCTTTCTCTTTCTCCTTTCCTTTTCTCTGTCTTTCTCTTTCTCCTTTCCTTTTCTCTGTCTCTCTCTTTCTCCTTTCCTTTTCTCTGTCTTTCTCTTTCACCTTTTCTTTTCTCTGTCTTTCTCTTTCTCCTTTTCTTTTCTCTGTCTTTCTCTTTCTCCTTTCCTTTTCTCTGTCTCTCTCTTTCTCCTTTCCTTTTCTCTGTCTTTCTCTTTCTCCTTTCCTTTTCTCTGTCTTTCTCTTTTGCCTTTCCTTTTCTCTGTCTCTCTCTTCCTCCTTTCTTTTTCTCTGTCTTTCTCTTTCT